CCCCTTCTCTCCATCTCTGGACATTTGTATCTCAGTTCAGCGAGAGAACTGTAAATGGATGCATGCCAATTGCTGAGAGGAGTCAGAAGACTCAGTTCAGTTAAAAATTTGCTGGTAGAAAAGGGAACCATCAGTCAGATGCACCTAGAGCAGTTTGATGTTGAAATATGGCCTGGACTAAAAGAACTTCTGCCTTCTTTGTGACACATATTTGCTGCTAGTTCTGGGTCAGTAATAACTCAGAAGTATTGGAGCTGGAAACAGACAATTAGCGATTTTAAAAGAAGGCCAGCAATGGCCATGCCCATATTTCTCCTGTGATATTTAGATTTTCAGCTTCATTTGCATTGAATGAAGTGACAATTTAAGGTGTATCTAAAACCAAAAACAAAATGCAATACATTGCATGCATCCTACCAGTACTTAGATGCAGTGGCTGCATTAGTTTTATCCATTTTATTGTTTTTTTTCACTTATTTTCACTTGATGATCCTACCAGCAATGTACTTCCCATCCTAGGGTTACAATGCTCAATTACTGTACTGTATCTGTGATGGAGCAGCGTTTTCATGCTAGACTGCACTCCTGTTTGGATTAGAAAACCAGGGGCTCACTGTCTGCCCCCTTTAAATACTGCACACTTACTGCCCTGCCACTTTGTACTGCTCACTGATTGTCCTGCCACTACGTACTGCTTACTGACTATCCTGTCAATAGACACTGTTCACTGACTGCCCTGTCACTCCATACTGCTCACTGACCATCCTGCCACTATGCACTGTTTACTGATTATCCTGCCACTATGAACTGCTTACTGACTGCCCCACCAATATGTACTGGTCACTGACTGCCACACCGGTATGTACTGTTCACTGACCATCCTGCCACTATGTACTGCTCAATGACTGCCCCACCATGGCATACTGCTTTCTGACTACCCTGCCACTACATACCGCTCACTGACTGCCCACAACTGAGTACTGCCTACTAACTGCCCTATCACTACATACTGTTCACTGACTGCCCTATCACTACATGCTGCTCACTGACTGACCCACCTATACATACTGCTCACTGACTATCCTGCCACTACATACAGTCCTGCCCATATGTAGTGGAGGGCAGAAATATTATTTTTTTCTTTTTGTGAAATCAACCACCTCTAACAGTTTGTAAAGCAGTCAGCTTATCTGCATAATTGATCTGAGTCCCTGTACCTTGCAGGGGGGAATAGATGAGGCTGATCTAAGTAGGTAGTGCAAACAGCATAGTATCCTATACCTGGATAAAGCCAGACACCTTGGTGCCTGCCATTTGATGCTTAGGTCTTGCCTGAATTCAAAGTACCATTATAATATCCCTATGCTAGCAGTAAAGGGTCAGACTTCTCTGAGCTTAACCCAGTGATGGACACAGGGAACTTATATCTGGTTGATTCACTGGAAGGAAACTAGAAGAAGTTAGGATTGCTGCCCATATGGGATGTGTGCTACTTCCTGGACACTGGAACTGCTGGGACTTTCAGTTCCATATTGACTGTGCTTACTGCCCTGTGGGCTAATTCTCCTTGCCGTGCCTCTACTTCCATCACAACTGCAACCTGTGTAATCTGGAAGCCACACCCAGGACACCCAGCCTTCTGAGGACCCACCATTGGCCTGTGAAGGACCTCTGCCCTGTGTGCTGGACACTTAATCCTTGATGTGTCCTATTTCTACCTAGAGAATCCCTGCCCCTTGCCATGTCTGCTGTCGCCCTGTGGAATGTTCCCTGTTGCTGTACCATATTTCCTCTCCATGGACGCATTATCCTTGCTGTGCTCTATTACGGCCCAGAGAATCCCTGCCCCTTGCCATGTCTGTTGTTGTCCTGTGGAATGTTCCCTGTTGCTGTACCATATTTCCTCTCCATGGACGCATTATCCTTGCTGTGTTCTGTTACCGCCCAGAGGATCCCTGCCCCTTGCCATGCCTGCTGTTAACTTGTGGACAGTTCCCTGTTGTCGTATCATATTTCCTCTCCATGAACACTTAGCCCTTACAGTGTTGTTCTGCTGCTGGAAAGAATTGGTACCATTTGTATGAAAAAAAAAAAAATATGCAAAATACGTATGCACAAGGTGTAAATGCATTAAAGTGTATGTTCACCAATGCCAGAAGTCTGCCAAGCCAAATAGGTGAGTTGAAAGCTTTGGTGCATAAAGAGAACTATGATTTAATTGGTATTGCTGAATTTTGGCTTCATTCTTCACATGACTGGACCATTAATATTCTTGGCTATGTTCTCTTTCAGAGAGACAAGGTAAAAAGGAAAGGTGGTGGTGTCTGTCTCTATGTGTGAAGTGACCACAGAGCGAGTGTGAAAAAGGACCAAGTTGATGGAGAGTGTGATGAGGCTGAAGTATTATGGATGGAACTGCACATGGGAGTGTGTACTACAAAGGTAATCATTGGAGTTTGTTATAGGCCTCCCAGTGTTAATGAGGAATGTTTAGACTCAGCTCCTTGCACAGATCGAAAGGGCTGCAAGGGCTGGGACAGTGATAATAATGGGGGATTTTAACTACCCAGAAATTGACTGGAGTAATAGTACTGCAGGAACAGTTAAAGGACAAACATTTTTAAACCTACTACAGGACAATTTTATGGTACAGTTCATAGAGGTCCCAACTAGGAATGATGCTCTGCTGTACCTGGTAATCTCAAACCCTGCAGAGCTTATTACAAATGTTACGAAAGAACATCTGGGTAGCAGTGACCATAACATGATTTCATTTATTGTTAACTGTAAACAACAAGCACATACGGAAAAAATAAAAAAGCTCAACTAATTTTTCAAGGCTGAGAGCTGCTCTCCAAGACTTAGACTGAGAGGGAATATTGGCATCGATGAACACAACACAGAAATTGGAGTTCTTCAAAAAGACTGTGTCAGGAATGGACTGGCCAGCAATGGTGGGACTCACCTGCCTTATGAGCTGCAGTACCAGGGCTGGCCAGCGGGTGCTCTCAGCAATCAGAGACTCAACCTTGCAGCCAGCTAAACACCTGGAACTGATTATACTGGTGTATTTAAGGGATGGCCAGACCTGCAGACTCTGCCTTGGTGTGTGTTTCTCCTGGGCCCTGTATCCTGTTCTTGCTCCCTGTTCCTGTTCCTGTCTGATTCGTTGCTGACCCTGCTCTGATCCCTGGCTTTGTCTGACCATTCTCCTGCTTCTGATCCCTGGCTTTGTCTGACCATTCTCCTGCTTATGATCCCTGGCTTTGTCTGACCATTCTCCTGCTTCTGATCCCTGGCTTTGTCGACCATTCTCCTGCTCCAGATCCCTGGCTTTGTCTGACCATTCTCCTGCTTAACCCCATACGTTCTGACCTCCTGTTGATAATCCCGGCCTGCCTGACGACGCTTGCATTGTATGTACTGTTATCTGTGGTGGGTTGGTTTGGTTTGTTTGCACTGTATTATGTTTAGTATTGCACTGCGTTTATGTTTGTATTGTTAGTGTTAATAAATTATATTTTATAACATATCTGAAGCCTGCGTTTCCCTGCGTCAGTCACATACCTCTGGTCACACCCTGGAGCCCTGACATTACACCAAGGCCAATCCTGACCAGAAGTGGCTGCACAGGGAAGCCATCTTGTTTTGTTGATGGGAAGGATGGATCTTGATGAGGTTGTGTATTTATATCTGCTAGTGTTTGATGACAGAGAGTATGCTTATCAAACTCAGAAGAGAGTATCCCCGGGATGAAACTGCTAGAATGTATACGGCTCGCTCATGTTCTAGTAGAATCAGGGCACAGGATTCTCTGAGGTGCAGCCACTGATTCAGATTTGTGCGGAGTTGGTTTCATCTGGTACCCCCGGATGCAGGGATGAATTTTTGCCGCCATTTAGTGCCGACCAGGTAGAGTCCCTGGTATGGTTATTAGAGGATGATATGGATTGCTTCTTGGAGCATTATTCTGCATGTTCTCCACAGATACTAAGAGATTGTATAAACGCAGTGCAGTCTTTGGTCAAACAGGCTTTGTGTAAGCTCAGCTTTGTTCAACCCATACTGCAGACATGGACAGATTTGTTGCACCCAGCCTCAGTCAGCCTACAAAAACCCAGTCCTGCTTCTAATCTATCTCCTCAAAGCTCTATTTCCTGCATTCCCAACAGCTCCTCCTGCCCTGCTATCTACCGCATGTCAGTACCCTGTTCCCACTCGCTGCACCTATCCTGCCTTTAACCCTGTAAAAAAGCCCTCTGTAGCAACTGCTCCCTCCTCTGTTCCATCCTCCCAGCTCTTCTCTGTCTCCAGCTGCTCCATTGTTTGCAGACCTGCATTTACTTGCAGTGCTCCAGTAGTTTAAAACCAGAAAAAAGCGAAAATTCTTTCCAACCCAATACCATCCTGCCAGTATCCAAACCGGTGAGCCTGCCGTCTGAGAACCTGCCTTCCGTGGTTCAGCCTGATGCCTCTCTTCAGCCTGATGCCTCTCTTCAGCCTGATGCCCCTACTCAGCCTGATGCCCCTACTCAGCCTGATGCCTCTACTCAGCCCGATGCCTCTCTTCAGCCTGATGCCTCTCTTCAGCCTGATGCCTCTCTTCAGCCTGATGCCTCTACTCAGCCTGATGCCCCTACTCAGCCTGATGCCCCTACTCAGCCCTGATGCCTCTACTCAGCCTGATGCCTCTACTCAGCCTGATGCCTCCACTCAGCCTGATGCCTCTACCCAGCATGATGAACTGATCCAGCCTGATGATCCTATTAGGCCAGTTGACTCGATGCCCGCTGTTGATCCAGATGATCCGGTACCTGATCCGGTGCCCGCTGTCGTGCCAATTGACTCAGAGCCCGCTGTCGTACCTGGTGACTCGGTGCCCACTGCCTTGCCAGATGCCGCGGTGCCCGCTGGCGAGCCAAATGACCTGATGCTGGTGACCCAGTGCCCGCTGTCATACCTGGTGACCCCATGCCCGCTGTCGAGCCAGACGATCCAATGCCTGGTGACCCGGTGCCCACTGCCTTGCAAGATGACGCGGTGCCCGCTGGCAAGCCAAATGACCTGATGCCTGGTGACCCAGTGCCCGCTGTCATACCTGGTGACCCGATGCCCGCTGTCGAGCCAGACAATCCGGTACCTGATGACCCGGTGCCCGCTGTCGTGCCAATTGACTTAGAGCCCACTGTCGTGCCTGGTGACTTGGTGCCCACTGTCTTGCCAGATGACGCGGTGCCCGCTGTTGAGCCAAATGACCTGATGCCTGGTGACCCGATGCCCGCTGTCCAGCCAGACGATCCAATGTCTGACCCAGTGCCCGCGGTCATACCAATTGACTCGGAGCCCACTGCCTTGCCAGATGACGCGGTGCCCGCTGTCGAGCCAAATGACCTGATGCCTGGTGACCCGATGCCCGCTGTCCAGCCAGACGATCCAATGTCTGACCCAACCCAGCGCCAGCGGTCATGCCAGGTGACTCGGAGCCCACTGTCGTGCCTGGGGACTCGGTGCCCCGCCGCTCCGCCTGGGGGCCCGAGACCTGTCGCTCCGCCTGGGGGCCTGAGACCTGTCGCTCCGCCTGGGGGCCTGAGACCTGTCGCTCCGCCTGGGGGCCTGAGACCTGTCGCTCCGCCTGGGGGTCCGGCGCCCGCCGCTCCGCGCCTGGGGGCCCGAGACCTGCTTGCTCCGCCTGGGGTCCGGCCGCCCGCCGCTCCGCCTGAGGGTCCGGCGCCCGCCGCTCCGCCTGGGGGCCTGAGACCTGTCGCTCCGCCTGGGGGCCTGAGACCTGTGCGCCCCGCCTGGGGGCCCTATGCCTCCCCGCCTGTCGCCCCTCCTGGGGGCCCGAGGCCTGTCGCCCCTACTGGGGGCCCCCGGCACCTGCCGCCCCGCCTGGGGGCCCGATGCCTGTCGCTCCGCCTGGGGGTCCGGCGCCTGCCGCTCCGCCTGGGGGCCCGATGCCTGTCGCCCCGCCTGGGGGCCCGCCCTATGCCTGTCACCCCTCCTGGGGGCCCGAGGCCTGTCGCACCCCTACTGGGGGGCCCGGCACCCGCCGCCCCGCCTGGGGGCCCTGGATTGCCTGTCGCCCCGCCCGGGGGCCCGGTGCCTGCTGCTCCGCCTGGTGGCCCGGTACCTGCTGCTCCGCCTGGTGGCCCGGTGCCTGCTGCTCCGCCTGGTAGCCCGCTGCCTGCTGCTTCGCTTGGTAATCCGATGTGCCTGTGCCTGGAGTCCAGCCCGATGTGCCTGTGCCCGGAGTCCAGCCCGATGTGTCTCTGCCTGGAGTCCAGCCCGATGTGCCTCTGCCCGGAGTCCAGCCCGATGTGCCTCTGCCCGGAGTCCAGCCCGATGTGCCTCTGCCCGGCCTTGTGTGCCTCTGCCCGATGTGCCTCTGCCCGGTGTGCCCCTGCCCGGAGTGGCCCAGTCCTGCCCGTGTGTGCCGCTGCCCGGAGTCCTGCCCGGTGTGCCAGTTCTTTGATATCCCGCCAGTTACCAGACCCCGGCGGGTGGAACATTTTGCCCAGCTAGGACTGTTTGGAGCATCCTGAGGCCGCTCCTTGAGGGGGGGGTACTGTCAGGAATGGACTGGCCAGCAATGGTGGGACTCACCTGCCTTATGAGCTGCAGTACCAGGGCTGGCCAGCAGGTGCTCTCAGCAATCAGAGACTCAACCTTGCAGCCAGCTAAACACCTGGAACTGATTATACTGGTGTATTTAAGGGATGGCCAGACCTGCAGACTCTGCCTTGGTGTGTGTTTCTCCTGGGCCCTGTATCCTGTTCCTGCTCCCTGTTCCTGTTCCTGTCTGATTCGTTGCTGACGCTGCTCTGATCCCTGGCTTGTCTGACCATTCTCCTGCTTCTGATCCCTGGCTTTGTCTGACCATTCTCCTGCTTATGATCCCTGGCTTTGTCTGACCATTATCCTGCTTCTGATCCCTGGCTTTGTCTGACCATTCTCCTGCTCCAGATCCCTGGCTTTGTCTGACCATTCTCCTGCTTAACCCCATACGTTCTGACCTCCTGTTGATAATCCCGGCCTGCCTGACGATGCTTGCATTGTATGTACTGTTATCTGTGGGTGGTTGGTTTGGGTTTGTTTTGTTTGCACTGTGTTATGTTTTAGTATTGTACTGCGTTTATGTTTGTATTGTTAGTGTTAATAAATTATATTTATAACATATCTGAAGCCTGCGTTCCCTGCGTCAGTCACATACCTCTGGTCACACCCTGGAGCCCTGACAGACTGGATGTGAACACACTGCAAAATATATTTCCATGGGCAACAAATTTATAAGGCTAAAAATCAAACACCTATGTGGCTTATGGCCAAAGTTCAAAAAAGCTAAAGATAATAAGAAAAGAACTTTTATTAAATATAAAAATGAAGGATGCTATCATCATTTAAACATTCCAAAGAATATAACAGAATATGCAAAAAGGAAATAAAGGCTGCAAAAATTGAAAAACAAGCGAAAGATTGTAAAAGATAGCTGGACCAACCCCAAAAAAATTCTTCAAAATATATTAATAGTAAAAAGGTTCGGTCTGAGCATGTAGGCCCTTTACAAAATAATCTAGAGTCAGTGACTGGGGACAAACAAAAGGAAAATTTATTAAATACATTCTTCGGCTCTGTGTATACAAAGGAGCATGGGGGATGTTGTCCATAATGGGCATGGTATTGACACAGCTCCAGATGATTCACATTGGCTTACAATTGATATGATTCAAAAATATTTAGACAGAATAAAAGTGAATAAAGCACCTGGACCGGATGGCATACACCCACAGGTCCTTAAAGAATTGAGCTCTGTCATTTCAAAGCCATTGTTTCTAATTTTTAGGGAATCTTTAATGACTGGCATAGTACCACTGGATTGGCGTCAGGCCAATGTGGTGCCAACATTTAGAAAGGGGTCAAAATATTTACCAAGTAATCATAGATCTGTTAGTTTAACTGCTATAGTTGGGACGATACTGGAGAGTTTAATAAAAAAACAACATAGATGAGTTCTTGCTGGAAAAAAATATTTTAAGCAACAGACAGCATGGATTCATGAAGACAGAAGTTGTTAAACAAATCTGATTTCTTTTTATGAGGAGGTGAGCAAAACCTTGGACAGAGGGGTGGTGGTGGACGTAGTATACTTGGATTTTCAAAAGCGTTTGACACAGTTCCCCATACACGGCTAATGTGTAAGGTAAAGTCTACAGGCTTGGAAAAATCTGTATGTAAATGGATAGAAAACTGGCTGAAAGATCGTATTCAGTGAGCAGTGGTTAATGATTCATACTCTGAATGGTCTAGGGTTGTTAGTGGTGTACCCCAAGGTTCAGTGTTGGGACCCTTACTTATTAATATATTTATAAATGATATAGGGGCTTTGATTAAAAATCCCATTTCAGTCTTTGCAGATGACACCAAGCTGTTCAGTGGAATAACTTCCTTACAGGATGTCTCCAACTTACAAGCTGACCTCAATGCACTGCTTAATGGGGCAACTATGTGGCAAATGAGGTTTAATGCTGATAAATGTAAGGTTATGCACTTGGGGGTTAAGAATATGCATGCATCATACATACTAGGGGGGGTACAACTGGGGGAATCAATGGTGGAGAAGGATCTGGGAGTTCTGGTAGATCACAAACTTAATAATGGCATGCAATGCCAAGCTGCGGTTTCTAAAGCGAGCAAAATCCTCTCTTGTATTAAAAGAGATAAAGACTCCAGAGAGAGAGATATCATATTACCCTGTACGAATTATTAGTAAAACCTCATCTAGAATTATGCAGTTCAGTTTTGGGCACCAATTCACAAAAAGAACATTGGGGAACTGGAGAAAGTACAGAGAAGAGCAACCAAACTGATCAGAGGCATGGAGGAACTCAGCTATGAGGAAAGGTTAGAGGAACTGAATTTATTCTCTCTTGAGAAGAGGAGATTAAGGGGGGATATGATCAACATGTATAAATACATCAGTGGTTCATATAGTGAACTCAGTGTAGAGTAATTCACCTTGAGGTCATCGCAGAGCACAAGGGGGCACTCTTTACGTCTGGAGGAAAAGAAATTTAATCTCCAAATATGGAAAGGTTTCTTCACAATAAGAGCTCTGAAAATGTGGAATAGACTCCCTCAAGAGTTGTTCTGGCCAGCTCAGTGGATTGCTTTAAAAAAGGCCTGGATTCTTTCTTGGATACACAGAATATAACTGGATACTAACATTTATAGGTAAAGTTGATTCAGGGATTATCCGATTGCCTCTCAGGGGGTCAGGAAGGAATTTTCCCCCCTGCAGGAGCAAATTGGATCATGCTTTGCTGGGGTTTTTTGCCTTCCTCTGGATCAACTGTGGGTGTAGGATTATAACTTTTTTTTTTTTTATGGTTGAACTGGATGGACTTTTGTCTTTTTTCAGCCAGACTAACTATGTAACTATGTACGAAACTAAATCAACAGGTTTTTTTTTTTAGAAATACCAAAATGCTTTCGACGTTATACTGTATTCAATAGACCAAAAAAGGAGCAAATAAAAGAATTTTATTGTTAGGGATTACATGTACTTTAAAATGTACCAATGTCAATAAAAATTACTTGTTTGCCTACATTTTACATAGCTCTAAGTTCTCTCTATAAAACAATATAAATGTTAATTTTAATGACTTTATACAATAAAACAGGCCCATTAATTTAGATTAAGCAAGGTTGTTGGACTGGTACTGAACGGCACAAATGTTCAGCACAATTCAATTACATTTTACAGGATGGATGAAAGAATAGATTGCAGACTTTATAGGTTTATTGATCTAGCCCATGAATGGAATTTTAAACATTCTCCACAGAAATAATGTTGAATTTTCCCAAATACACCTTTGTGAAATAGCTTCTCGCAAATCACAGACCACAAATTCCAGATATAATTTTGCAATGTAAATTTTTTTTTATTTATCTGTGTCTGGATGTTGTGTCTGAGTTAACCATTTATAACATAGAACCCTATTCTACTGTGTGTTAGACCTTAGTCCCTGTTCATATTGAGCATTTTAATGTGCATTGGCCGAAGCTCAATGATGCATGATAAAAGGATTCCATTCTTTTTCTGAGGCCCATTCACACCTGTATGCTGTTGTGCATGCAATGAGGAAAATACTACAGGTGCTTTTTTGGTGCATCAACATGCATTTATGGCCCCATAGACTTCAATGGCGGTGCATAAAACACATAAGTATAAAAATGCAGATGCAAAGGTGTGAACCCAGCCTTGGCACTTGTCTGCTACATTATCCTGAACCCCTATTTTCAAAAAGTGCCATGATTAAAACTAGCTATGCACTGTGTGAATTTTGGCCAAGTTCCTGATGAACTGGACAAAATTCACTTTGCAGGTGGTCCTGTCAGCCCCTTACTGCCCAACCTCCTTTGATTAAAG